GCCTACCTCGGCTGACACGGGCTGAGCAACGTCTATTCAGCAGACATCCATGGCTACACAACAGTAAGACCTTTGACACTGTAAGGACAGTAATTTGACACAGTTTTCTTTGATTATCAAAGAAATGACTATTTTAATTAATTCTTAAAAAAATAGGTTTCTTAAAAAAATAGGTTTTTATATTCATGCTTAAATGTTCATTATTTGATTAATATAGTGAATTGATTATCATTATTTTGATATCAATTACTAAAAATATTGCCTTCTATTCTTGAACTTTCGACTTATGGATTACTTCAGTGTATCAACCAAACATCTTATTCTAATAATAAGATGTTTTTCTATTATATCCACCAAAACAATCTATCCCAAATGGGGCCTAAGCAATTCAATTGTTACATTATCTATGCCAACTGGTTCTTGAGTATATTTATCAACTTCATTAATTTGTTATCAATTTGTCCAGTTCCACGGTCCCAGTTAAGAAGATACCAATTTTTCATTTATTGATTTACGATTATTTAATCTTTGGTCACTGTTTGTCATTGTCTAGCATCATGGTTCTCGCTTCACAGTGAATCTTTTTTGTTTTTTTTGTTCGAACGACCCAGAGGCGGAGTACTTACTATTATTAACTGGGAAATTTGCAGGGATGGATCTAGGATCGAACTAAAAGTCTTTTAAACGGGCCTAATATGTAAACAAAATATTTTGCATTTAATTTTTTGTATAATTAATTTTTTCCCCTTCTCGCAAGAACTCGCCTTTAAGACAGGCTTGTTAGGGGAGGTGTTTAAAGTGCTTAAAAAGTAACGAGACAAGCCTTTCATGAGCAATGCAGAGTAAAATTATATCTTTACATTCTACCCCTCTTTAAGATGAAGGTCCATGGTGGTCCATTTTTTCAACTAGGTCACTCCACACAATCAGTCTTCCACTAGAAGTTCCTCTTCAAGATTGAGGTCCAGCCGCCCACATCCATGGTTGGTCCGATTTTCCCGGCTGGGTGACTGTACAGAACCAGTTTTCTACTTGAAGCCTCTCTTCAAGATCCAGGTCCATGGTGGCAAATTTTTTTCCTGTTGGGTTACTTCATAGAACTAGTCTTCTACTGGAAGTAGTCCTCCTTAGGTCTCCTTGTCCGCCACAAAGTTCCCCAAACACGGGATGCCTACTCTGATACCAATTGTAACAACTACTTAGAGAATAGCTCACCCTTAAAATTGGATTGTAAGGGGAGGGTTTGCAAAGTGCTTATAATCACACGAAAGTAGGCTTTTACAAGCAGGGTAGAATACAATTAGATAGTTACAAAGTTCCTATCATTTTAAAAATAAATTTTAACTTCTCATATTTGGTGGGATATTTGAGCACGCAACAGCAATAAACTATTTAGCAGGAAAGAAGTTGATAACGCAGTTGCTAATTAATTACAGCAATGTTCCTTTTCATGTCTATTTTGTTTCTTTTTTATAAGAATATGATGTAAGATGAATCGATGATCATTATGAACAATGAAGGAATAGTACGAATTCCTTCCTTCTGTAATAGATCTTCAAATTTGATGAAGTGTATAGTAGTAACTTTCTAAGCAAATATTCCAATTCTTCATTAAAAAATGAGGATTGGACGAACGCTAAAATTTATATGAAACTCACTTGAGTCGAGTGACCAAATATTGGTTTTCTCAAAAAAGTCAAAACAAGATGAGTGCAAGGATTTCAAAAGTAATAGGATATGGATTGCAAACACATTTTTCAAAGTATATTAATAATACTTTTATAGTAAGGTTTCCACTCTACCAAGGGCTGGCCCCCTATGATAGGGCGGCCTCACAAGTAGCTTGACCCTTACAGTAATACCTACTTATAAAGTAACTTATAAACGAAAGAAAGTATGTTGATGAAAAACATTTCGAGAACCACACATAGAAGATGATATTCTTATCTTATAAA